CTAGACGTAGCAACGTATTCGCTTTGACTGTTTCTTAAGTACTTACTATTGCATATCGTATGCATAATTATATGCCTATCTACTATAATAAAAGTCGTGAGCGTTAGTAGTAAATGTACGTGTATGTATACACACTTTTGCGTTTATTCGCTTAAAACATTTCCTACAGCAACGATTTTAATCGATCTATTAATATCGCTTATTCTAACATAGAGATCGAGGCGAGCCCTTGACTGACAAGTTCGTGGCGGTATGACTACCATTCAATAAATCTCTCATACCGCCAGGCCACCTACACCTCATGAATATCTCTGGGTAATTTTTGAATAATAACTAAACACGCTGTAATACATAACATTAGTAAACGTATAGGTATACATAATAACAATGAGCGACTATAGCCACCGCCAACAACGAAACAAGAACAAAACACTTATTTTTATTTAGCGGAGCGGATTGAATTATTCGTTTGATTAGAGTGAAAATTGCGGCGCGAAAATTGATGATTTGCATTCGTTGGCCACAAGGTCGAAGTGCATTCTCGATAAATTGAACACTATTAAAATACCATTATTACAAATTATTATTATCGGTTCTACGTATGAATGAAGTTTCTGAAACGTTCTTCAGATTATGCTCGTCGATTTCGACACGCATTTCTATCCATACACTTTTTTAAAACAATCTTTGAAAATTAGGATAGCAAAAAATTGACAGGGTATTACAGAAATTATTATATTAAGCGGAAGCTGATAGAATGCCAGAAGGCCTTAATCGACTCTATCCGACACTACCAGGTTTGTATATTGGGCTATTTGCAATAGTTTATTTATTACTTTTTAGTGCAGATGAAATAAAATTTAAAAATCCAGTAAATGTTTAAATCGACTAGTTTCTTGTTTCAGTCTGCGTGTATTTTTGGAAATTACATAGGTACATGGAATAATGAACACACATTTCTGTTAACGCAAAAATCCTTATCAGTGTACATGCCTTCTACACTTAATAATTATTGTTTTTCATTTGAATAATACCAATGAAATACATTTAATTAATAATTTATAAGAAACGCTTTAGACGTATATAAAGAGATAAGGAACTTGCAAGTCTAAATGCAAGAATGACATCATAGATTTGTAAAAATTTATTTGTTTTACTGGAACTACTTAATTTAAACATGTTCGGATGAATTGCCGATAACAATTCACAGTCCCTTAATTATTATATCATTTAGCGGAATATTTTTCTTTTTACTACTTTTGCTTTTATTAGTACATTTAGTTCATAAAGCAATTATGTCAACATCCTACACTAAAAGAATAGGTAATTCTACGAATTTACATTTTTAAAGGAAAAAAAATATGATCTAGAAACAAACGCAGATGGCAACATAAAAATTTCAATTGTTTAAAATACAATTGAATTTAATTAGCATTAGACTAAGTTGATTAAAGATCTTTTGCAGAATTAATAAACAATCTATAAGAGTTAAAACTGTTTGACGGATTCCGGTATACATAGGTGTATTAAAATGTTTACAACTACAGAACGCATTAACTAATCTTATTAAGACACCTAGAACAAGAAAACAACATGCACAAGTAATAAACAAACACGTACAGATCAATGTGATTCGCTAATGGATCCATAGTACTATCTATGATTAAAGTAAAATAAACTTGAGTAAAAATATATGCTAGTGGTAATTAAACCTCTTTCTACAGGATAATAAGATTTATATTTTAACTTTTAAGTACTCGTCTTCAATAGCGACCTAAATAACACTCGGAGTGCGATTAACAAAATAACAATCCATACAGACTACTGACTAGGTAATAATTGTATAACCTTCGGATGCAAACGTAAACTAAAGCCATTTTTATTTTTTATTTATTACATCTGTATTTCTCTATTCACCGCTATGAAATCACTTATGCAGTAATACAACCACTGCATCACGTATTGTTTTTTTTTTGCTTAAACGTATAATAATTTCTGTTTCAAGATTAATTCTTATTTTCACTAACATAACATTGCATTTATCAGCGTATCTGTTAATTTATTTTAAATGTGCTCTTAAACGAAGATTTTGTTATGAATCACCAATACAGCAGAGTGTGTAATTTATTAATGATGTTATACAATGCAATAAATACTAATTGATTCAGAAAGCTAACTTTAATTACTAGAAATTAGGTGCTCTCCTCTTTTCGGATTTTATAGCAATGATCTTAAGAAAAAAATAACTGACAATGGCAGATAGGAAGGTACACCAAAGAAGGAATAAAAGAACAAATTTAGAAATAATAACTTTTACGTTTAAAAATCTTAAAATGTTGATTTAGGTATACCTAATGGTAATGCAGAAAAATGTGCTTACCCATAGGAATTGAAATCTGTTTTAAAGATTAATTTATCGACAATGCAATCAATCTCTAAGCAGTTAACAGGCAATTACATGTAAATTGACCACAAAAAAATCAACTAACTGTTGATTTTGAACCAATTGACCGAACTTGTATGATATACCTAATAAACGTTTATCATTGTCATCAATCATAATGCAGTTAGAACAATCATTTAATAAGTGAATATTATTCCTCAATGAAGCACGATTGAATCAGTTGTTATTGACTATGTTTACCTATATCTAATATAAAAGAACTCATATTTTTTTCATATATATACAAATAGGGACGCGTGTAACATAAAGAATTTCTTTGGCATAATAAAGACACTAGCATTACCTACAGTTATTATCTGATTAAGTATAATAATTTTATCAATTTTATGGTTTCAAATTATTCGACATTTTGTATAATAAACCGCCATTTAAGCGGATACAAAGTAAGATGCTACTTTTAAATAAACATATTTTTTTAGTAAACATATGTCGTGGTAATAATTTATGGTAAAAAATATGTTTGCCAGGTTGCTTTCAAATATTAATTCTGCATAATATACCAAAAATTTAGATAAAATATCTGATAAGAAAACACAATAGGCATAATGCAATTAATAAAATGTGTACAACCCAGAGCAACACATACAGTACAATATAATTAAACATTACGCAAAAAGGTTGTTAAAGGTGTATGTTTGGAGCACGGCATTGTACGGGTGCGAAACATGGACAGTGGGCGCGGAGGAAAAGAAAAGGTTAGAAGCGTTCGAAATGTGGTGTTATAGAGCGGATGATGAGGATATCATGGGTAGAAAAGGTTAGAAATGAAGAGGTATTGGAAAGAATAGGAGAACTCTATGGAAGTCAAAACAAATTGCCGAGATAGGTTGGTAGGACACCTTCTTAGGCATGAAGGTCTAGTTAGAGACATATTAGAGGCAGAAACAGAAGTTAGGAGGGGTAGAGGTGGGCTGTTCTAGTTTTAGGGAAATGCGAAGTTTAGCTCAGGATAGGAAAGAGTGGAGGTACGTTTCCAACCAGTCTTAGGACTGACGACCTTATGATGATGACGCAAAAAGCATGTTAAACACAAGGTTCTATATCGAAAAATTACATTTTTGGTCATATTTAAATTTTAGGGCAAGATTATTAGAATTAATTTTGTAAATAATCAGAAAGAGAATAATTCACTTGATAAATCAAAAAATCAATGTAGGCATATGTATAACAATTGCCTAATTATTCATTATCACGTAGATATATTAATTGAAAATTCCAGGATTAATTGAAAATTAACACCATTAATAAAATTTAAACTCACAAAAGCAAGTTTCGAATATCGATTTGCAAATTTCTATTTGCTAAATAATAAGAACAATATGCAATAACTTCCTTATCAGTACTTCAGGAAATTAATAAATCGTGGTGTAATTTATTAGAGAAGAAAAAAACATAATTTTCAATTAATATTTAAAGGAGCTTTTTGAAGACCGTTGTAAATCAAACATGTAATTTTATTATGCTGTCCCTAAACTTCAAGCGAGATAAAATACAGCAGTAAATTAATTTGACATACGCATTTGGAAATTTAAATAAAAATTAATTTGACCATAACATTTTTCTCACTTTGTGACAAATAATTATGAATAGTAAGTAATCAAAAGTTAATATAATCGAAGCTTTAGCGGCAAGGAAGATTAGATATTAGATTGGACCAGATAATAGGTACTACTGATATTGTATAATAAAAACGAATGCACTTATAAGTATCGCCGCGTGTCAAAACTAGTACGTGTTTATTTTAACGATTACCATAAAAGAAATTATTGTAGATTATATTATTAAAAAAAAGGGAGAGACCGGATTGTGATTTAAATGCTAATGTTATTGTATTTTTACGAGACATTAAATCCAATTTATTAGTCACGCGAATTAAAGATTGATGCGAAATTAGTGAACAGAAAATATAAATCAAAACAAAAATTGAATACATATTTCAAAAAGTTTTATTTTAGAAAAGTTTCGCTTTCATAGAAAAAATAAAATTAAACGTAAATATAAGTTTGAAGATTCAAGAATATTTTTAAACGTAAATTTCAACTTGGAAATTTACTTGCGTAGGTACATTAAAACTTTAAATTCTAAATTTTTTATCTTTAAAATAATTGGGCTAACTACCTACATTAATCTATGAGATTTAAAAAAATGATCTTAATTGCCGAATGCTTACTTTTGTGGAGTCTTTAATTAAGTTTGGTATCTATTAATTTTAATTAAAATTTGTGAGTTATTATTACATGTGCGTTTTAAGGTTTGTTTTGTGTCGCCAAGTGTCAACAAACAGATGATGAGGGGTTGAGTATGCGGGTCATTTATTAAATTCACGACTGGGTTCTTGTTTAATTCCACGATCAGTCAGTGTAAGAAATGAGATAATAAAGATAAGCGGTGGATGGTGAACTGATTGCTTGGATGCAGCAGGTAGACGAGCACATCATGCAGTCGATAATGTTATTAATAAAATAGGCAATAAAAAAGAAAGTATGAATTGAGTTATTAGCAATGATGTGAGGCAAGGGTAAACATAAACATTTACCTCGCTTCCAGCCACCTGCCACAACCAGGATTCGAACCGCTGCTAATAAGTTCGTAATAATGCGCGATTATGTCACAAAATAATTGTCGTCCAATAATTTCTGGACACTCTAACAACACATGCTGATTGCTAGAAGAAGACCACTTGTAACTTTGCGAATTGTGTGCGTTAAAGATAATAAACATCGCATAAATGCTGTCTCTGACGCTCTGTTCCCTGCCCGATGCCGCGCTAAACTCAAACCATTTCCACTCCCATGTGCGCTTTTCATATAAGTAAGAGCTATTTTTAGTTGCCACTGTCATAATTCTGTGTTTCTATTCGCTTGAGATTGTGTCACATTCAAGCTGATTGGCTGTAACTGTTCAAAGTCAGTCACGAATATTTAAGATACGTATACATTGAAGCAGGAGGGTAAGGCGCGCTCGCGCTAATCGTGTAAATGTGTCCATGTATTTAGCAATGTGTTATTATGCGGCGACGACTTGCGCTTGACTCGTTCTCGTCGGTGGGAACAAAAACAAAACGAATCGGATTTTTTTTTGCCATCGTTTTTGTCTTTTTATTATATACTGACTTACTAAACTAGTTTGAAATAAGTGTCCGAATACATTGTGGCCCACTAATTCATTCATTAACAGCATGCCGGCGAAAGTAAATTGCTACTTTATCGTCAAATCTTATTCCACGCAGTCTGATATTTAAGTTTTATTGCTTATGCTCTCCTACACCTCGTACTTATATTGCTTACATTTATTTAATTTACAATCACGTAAATACGTGCTGTATAATTACTAATGCAGATAGAGATGGGCAGATTAGAAATGGTTTTCTAAATTTAAACCTTTTACAAGTAATTGCAAGATTTTCCTGCAGCAAAATCAGATTTTCAGATTTCAAAGAAACGTATTTAAATAAGTTAATTAGCCCAACATAATTCTACAATTTTAACTGCTTATAGGTAGGTAGCTGTAAAAAAATTATTCCGATATCTAATCTTTCTGTTACCTAAACGATTCTTGTTAGAGTTGTTTTTGCAGTAAATAAATGAAAGCCAAAGATTTTCTTGAATTAGTATCTGCCTATAATAAAGTTTTATTTAAGCGATATAGGTACCTATAGAGAAATTTTGTAAGGGGTGTCATTATTATGTGATATTAGCATTGTAATAATAAACACATTAAACAGACGTAACTAATCGTAAGAACAACTTTTTTTAGATTACATTCACATAGACAATAAATAAGCATATAAACTGTTAATACTAAATTACCTATTTTTATTTAGGTATACCTCTATTTTATAAAGCTAACATTTCATGAAGGCGAGGTATACAGATTCAAACGTTTGTAGAATTTTAAATACTTAAAGAATAGTAGAATTACCAAGTACCTAGTGAAAACCTTTTCAAAACACCCCGTATATCGCTGTAAAAGCTCGAGTAGAATGAAATAGCAGTCGTGACCTTCTTTCGCAGGAAACAAATGGGTTGCCTAAACAGATATCAAATATATGATAATTTCGAAAGAACATATTCTTTAGATTGTGCCTACTAAATTGCATTTATTTGCATAAATTACATTTACATTGCGGCTTATTATTAGTATATCAATTGAACATTAAAATGACATATATTTCAAGTTGTAGAACGCACCTAAATTTTTAAGCGTTTCTGTGCTTCCCTCTAACGGCTGGGCACTGTAATCTGTAGTTATTCTGTGAAAATAAAAATGTCGGTGGATTGTTAGTGGCGGTTTTTATACAAATGAAAATATTGTGAAATTTGTTTTCAATGTGGACCGATTTATTACAGGCAAAATATACTTGATGTGCTGCTAAAAACAATACATATTCTAGTAGGCACCGTACATTGAAAAGTACTTCTATATTGACGCTATTCAGTTACATAGTGACGCACTAGTAGCGTTACCCAGCAGAAGCTATTTGGATCGTTGTTGATATAGTCTATAAAGCCAAAATTTATGTATTTATAAGTGCTGTATTTCAATGGAGGAAAGTGGTGCCCAAGAAAAACAATCCACTGCAAGGCGCAAATCAATTCAAAAAAATTCAGATTCACCTACTCCAGAGGAGCCTCCGTCATCAATTAACGGAAAAGAACAGGAAATGATACAAGATAAGGAAGCAGAGGGTGAAAAAGATGATAAAACAGAGGCAAATGAATGTTCCGATGCTAAAGCAGCAGGTGAGAGTAAGGAAACTAGTGAACATTCTAAGACAGGTCGTAAACGTAAAGCAAGTGAAATGAAGTCTGATGATGGCATCTTTGATGAACCCCCTGTTAAAGAAAAGCCACAAGTTCAAGATAAATTATCAGAACATGAAAAAACATCTACAGATTCTGAAATGGAAACAGATGATTTACGTACGTATTTGTAAAGATATTTTTTTCCACTTTATGCATATGATTGTGCTCTAAATGGTTTTAAATAATCAAAATAAATAAACCATCTAGGCAGATTCACTAGGAGTTTTATATTGTTATTAAGTGAGGTTAGAATTTGGTTTATATGAATTTATTATTTAGTATGTTTTACATGATTATTAAATATATTTCACTACTTTATAATAATTTACAATGTGTTGTGAAAATAAGTTCATTACTTTTATTGTAATTCATGCTTATTTATTTTTTAATTTAGAAGGGGATGTTTGGTAATTTTATCTTTTTTATTTACATGGCCGTTATTTTAACTCTATACTTACATTAACTGTTTTTCTATTAGGTGGCATAGAGGAGTCGTTAAGATCGGAATCTGTAAATGCTTCATGGGACCAGACGTTTGGAAAGGGTAAAAGAGCTCGCATTCCAAATAAGAGATATAGTGATTTTCCTCTGACACCTTCAAGGGTAAAGTCAAACATTACTGAACACATTGACCAAGTTCATAATGGGGAGGCAAAAGAAAATATTGAATCTGAAAGCGGATCGACGTCTGATTTGTCTGGTTCAAAATCAAGTCATACAAGTAGTCCAGCTGGTTCCGTTTACAAGAAAACCAAAGCACCCGTAAATTTGAATAACCCAGATTTTTTGAAACCGTTCCAGTATGGTTGGAAAAGAGAGCTAGTATATAGAGCTACAACGGATAATCTGAACAAGAGAAACGGTGACATATATTACTACACACCCAGCGGTAAGAAAGTACGCTCAATGAGAGAGGTCGCAGAGAATCTAAAGGATCGAAATTTATCGTTGAGTAATTTTACTTTCTTTAAAGAGCCTTTAGGTTTGAATGACCCAGAAAAAGAAACAATACGGGATGCAAAAGTTAAGTCTGGCTCTGAAAAGAAATTTGTTGCGGCCTCGTCCCGCACTACAAAATCATCAGGTACTTCAAGTCCGGCAGTTTCATCACCTGTACTTCCTACATCGATTACAGAAACTAAAGAACCAACAGCAGCATTAGAAGCCCCCAAAATTACTGAACCTGCAACGCCAAAACAAAAAAAGAATGTAGCAGCTAACTTGAAGGTATTCTTAATAAACCATTTATTTATTATCTATATAAAAGTAAATACACAAATTTAAAATGTTTTATATATGAAACATTGAATGTAAAATAGTAAAGTAGATATAGAAGGTAATCCTTTGAAGTATTAAATTATTTGGAAATATTGCTATTTTTATGGAAAAGCCATAACCAGATAAACATGGACAAATTCCCAACAAAGCTTGTTTATAGGTCTTGTACTTTGTAGCATTAATTTTCTGTACTGAAAGTATTGAATCGAAATTTATAGTAATTTATAATTATAAATTTTAATCTGTTACACTCACAATAGCTTGGTCAGGATCGTAAATAAACTATTATTTTTATAACGAATAATGGAAATATTTTCTTTAACTATGCATAATAGAGGTACATTTCATTATATGCACTGAAGAAAGGGCAATGTTTAATGGAAAACATTTCCATTGCTAATTATAAAAGTAATGGTTAATGTAAAAAATTTACATTATTGATTACAAAAGTAATGGGTCATGTAATCTTTATAAAAAAAATACATTATTATTTGTAGTAGATGCCTTTTTAACATTTATTAAAATTTATTTAGGTTAAATTGACACCGTCAAAAAGCAAAGCTGCTAAAGCAAAACCCAAGAAGAAAGAGGAGGAATTGCAGATGGGGACTTTACCACCGACCTGGCAAAGTCCACCAAAGAAGAGTCCAACAAAGGCTACCAGGTAAGCTCTTTGAAGGTTTTTGAGCACATATCTGTTTTTTTTTGTGGTAGAATGTTTTATTTTTTATTCATCTAGCCACTCTACGCGGTAGTTGTTATTTAGTGGCAGAAAATAACTGTGTATTGGAAGGGTCTTTAATCATTGCAAGTCCTGCCCCCCCTACTTTCCTTTTCCTTTTTACATCGTTTCGCATTACAGTGACATGGACAAAAGGTGTCAGCCGTGTTCGATACGTTGCGAAGGCGTCTCGGGTCCAATACCGAATCTCCAGTGCCGCATTTGTTTGTGCTTGTATCATAACGAATGTGTCGGCCTGTCGCCGCATGTGGCCATTGCAGATTATGTGTGCAAGGTACGACCATAAATGAAAGGAAAATGGCGGACAGGGTGTTTGAAACGCCACTCGGGTTTAACTAGATTCCTTTTCTTTCGAGACGCTTGAATTTGAAATATTTTTTCTGAGAAAATGGAGATTACTAAAGTTAATTAAAGGGCATATTTGCAGTTGCTTAAATTATATTTAAAAAAAATTGTATGATCATAAAGAGCCGTTATAGGGCGAGCATAGGAAGACTGTTCTTGGAGCCATGCTTACCCTACTGTAGTGCTTGGTTATACGTTAATAATGGCAACTGCCATTTTTAGTCTTTAAAAATGGCGTGAAGGAAAATATTGTATATTTATTGAAGTTTGTGGCCCTTTAGTAGTTTATCTAAAAGCATTGGCATTGCCAGTTCGAGTATTTTGTTAAATGTGTATTAGTACGTATTTTAAAGTTGTCGCAATTTTTAGGTCTCTATAAAAGTTTTTGTTTGTGGTTTTATTAGTTGAGTTATTAAGTGTACTTTGTACATTCTGTGTGAAGGTTAGAGGACGTGGGCCTGTTTTTTTTACCTCTGACAATGAAATTATAAGCAGAAAATGTTACCTAGGTATATACAGTTTCAAACGCTCTGTTGTCCAACTGTTCTCTAATGTTTGCTATTGAGTTTAAAATATATTACTTACTGATACGTAATGTCTGGAAGTTCTGTTTTTGACGTAATTTACATTTAAAATATGAGAAAAAGTTTAGACCGGAGTAGTGCTCAAAACAGAACTTCTAACTTCGCTTATTGATAATGGTTGAAGTAGTAACTTAGTTTATCTTCGTAGAACTGCCAGCTTGGTCCGGATGAGAGTTCAGCCTCTGCGTCAGCAGTGGGCCCACCTCCTCCTCCTCCACCACCTCCTCTCACTCCCGTTAACACTATAAAGACGTTATCGGTTGCAGCTACCGCGTCTTTACCAAAACTTCAAAGAATTCCTAAGCCAAACGAATTGACTACTTCCGTTAACGTATCGTTAAAACCCCCTCCGTTAAAACCCGCCCCAACTAATATATCCGATCCTATCCCCAGCTCAGACTTGCCTAAGCTAACCCCACGACCCGGAATCATAAGTTCGATAGTTCAAAATTCCGCAAAAACCCCTGATACGGTTCCTATTTCTGAGTCTAAAAGTATCGTAGGTTCAGTAACTACTTGGTTTCCCCCAAGTTCAACAATTCAAGTTAGTCAAAGTTTAGATAACGTAGAAAACGCAAATGCAACTCCTCCACCACCTCCACGACCTCAATTTGTTGAATATTTTGGTAACAAGAAGTATCTAGTAATTCCCAAACATAATGTTGTCAACGTTTCACCCACTATTGCCGCAACGGCTACAACACCATCAAGCAGACCCGCGAACGTAGATAGTTGTGAGGGTGGCGTTGTAGGCTTTAGCGATACCGAAAAAACAGCAACGGAAGCTTCTTCAGGGGCGGAAACAGCTCCGACGGCGGTAACACCTGGGGGAGCTAATATGGAAAATTTAGATGCCGTAATCAAATCGGAACCAATGTCTCCTATAAGCAGTGAAAGTGTGACAAATTTGACCGATTTGAATCAATTAAACCTTTGTTCTGATACTAAAATTCCTTGTGATACTCCTCCCTCTCAAGTTATTCATGAAGATAATGGAACGAATGCGGACGTAGAAATTAAGAGGGACAATGGAGAAAACGAAGCTGAATCAGAGTGAGTGTCTTATATTAGTGGCATACCGTTTTGTGGTTTATTTTTTGCAACATTTTCCCTAGTCGTCCTTCCTCTTTTTACTTGAAAATTCCAATACATTGGTTATTTCGCTACTACATCTACTCGAAATTCTTGCATTTAAAAACCAATATTTTCTTTCAATTTGTTGCTTTTTATACAAATTTGTAGTTGCTTAACGTAGTTAAGTAATTGTATTCTAACTAAAAGAATCACTTACTGATAGTTTAAGTTCCTTAATATAATCATGTGGTTCTTCAACTGCATCTTATTTTGCTACAATGTTGAAATGATAATTATTTTATTTTGTATATAGAATTAAGTAACTAAACCTGGTATCTTTTTCGCAGAGCGGCGGAGAATAAAAGAAGTTCCAAACGTCTAGCAAAATCAGCTCAACAACAAAAATTCGATACAACGAAATCGCCGGAAAAACAGTTCATGGATAACTTTTTGCAGAATCTGTCATTTGGATACAAAACTCTTTTGTGCGTGTTTCAATACTTAAAAATGCAAGATTTGTTGCGTGCAAGTTGTGTGTGTAAAATGTGGCGTGATATCGCCAGCCATCCCTCTCTTTGGCACACAGTACGAATGAAGAATTCACAAATACACAGTTTCGAAGGTCTTGCAGACGCATTACAAATTCATGGTACAGTGCATTTGGATCTTCGTAAGATGCTGTTACCTGGAAACGGAGATGAAATTTGGCCTGAGTTTTCGAGGGCAATTAAGAAAGTTGAAACGTTAAGAAAGATTGAACTATGCCGTTGCCCTGCAACGGTTGTAGAACAGTTGGCCCTAAGTAATCCAAAATTAGAAGTGATCAACGCGGTTACGATAAAATGCGAAAGCATGGGATTAGCACCGTTAGTTTATTTAAAATGTTTGCAAGAATTGAGGCTGAAATCGACCGCTGGGTTTTCTTTAACTTCTGATCTGACAGCTCTTAGCGATCTAAAACAGCTTAAGCATCTTTCACTCACGTCAATTAAGGACTTAAACAAACTTAATATCGATGTAATTGCAGATTTATCGAATTTGGTATCTTTAGAGCTTGGAGAATGTTCAGATTTTCCAAAATCATTTGGTCACGATATTTTGTCGCGGTTGCACAAGCTGGAAAAACTGCGCTTAGAAAAGGGCCAGGGAAACTGTCACACGTTTGACATTTTAGACGCTGTTAAAGGGATGCCGCAAATGGAACAACTAGAGCTTGTCAATTTTGACATTAAACCCGGTTTCGACAAAGCCCTGGGAGCATGTACTAATATTAAAAAATTGCTGATAATACCGACGTACATATCACAGAGCGCTACGACAAATCACATGGTCTTAGGAGGAGTGTTACGATTACGGAATACACTCTTACATTTTGTATGGGGCGTGACGTTAGAACTTTTGAGGGTGACTGAATTGTTTGTGGATCAGTGTGAAGATCCGGATAAAAAAGAAAAGAAAGAAAAACGTTCTGTTGGTAATGGCGATAGCATTCCGGTGCTTAAACCGGTACCGTTATTGAAGGAAGGGCAAACAACATTAGACATCCCCCCCGCACAAGATCCTCCCCAAGTAGAGATATTGCCGCTACCCAATTTACAAAAGTTGCTGTTACAAAGCTTGCCAACGACTCGTGTTAAAATTTTGAAAATACCCTTTCACGCTACGTGGCGGCAAAGTATAACGGATACAGTGAACTGATGAAGTAGGTGTTATTTTTTGACGAGTCATATCGTAAGCTGTTCGTACGGTAGATCATAATGACGTCCTACGTTTAAAGGTGCAAAGTGAAAAAAAAAGAGCAATTATAAACTTACTGAACCACATGTTGGTAATCGGTTAAGAGTGTAGATAGAACTACAATGTTTTTATGAAAGTAATTAATACATACATATAAATATTATTAAAGTAGTATATAGCTATTATGTTGATTATGTTTCGTCTTTTGGTTTCCTTTTGTAGCTCTATGCATTATGCCTCTTGAAGACCACACTTCAAATTTCACCATAAGAGTATATATGATCGAATTAATTCAATGGTTTTTCTTGTTTTTCTTTTTTTACATTAATAAAATATGATCTCATATTTAAATGGTTGCCTTATATTTAAAACATTTTAGCTTTTTTTTTTGCTGAACGTAATGAGGAGGATAAACTATAAATCGCAATGATTATAACGGACCATCAGAATTTGACTTAATTATTTGTTAATTCACTTTAAGTTACTGTTGTAGAAGAGAATTTGATAATTATTATTTGTTTTTTGTCGTCAAAAAAATCACCCATACTTTTTTCCGTTTGTAGGAATTAACGTTGTATATTAACCCGTCTACATTTCAGTAGACGTTTTATTTCAAACTTTAACCCATATACAAATAAATAGATAGCTTATCAGGTCAAGAGTCTTTTGTACAGTTAGTTACTTAGGTATATACATATGCATATTTGTGTATTACTTAAAGGACCTGACGACTCCGTTGTAATTAAAATAAATGTTCGTTTTAATAAAGAAATTTTATTTTCATAACACAATAAACTACGTACATATAAAATTAAATATCTAATTAGTTTTGTTTCGTTTAATAATTAAGTTTGTATTTTTTGTGTTTCTAAATTTGAATATGTTGAATATTTTCGCATTTTTGATGTAAAATATGTTCTTTTTTTTAATGAAGATTGCTAAGAACAAGGTATGTTCAACTATGTACAAATTTTATTTAACGTTTTAAGTGCAAACACAATTAAGGAAGACATTTTCTTATGAATAAAAATATTTACTATTGTAAATGATGTAAATTTATAGATGTGATGGTTTTTTAAAGTAATAAATGAAGTACCTTAAAAGTGGTATACTTTGTATTGTTTTTTAGAGCACATCTTATAATTTCAGCAGTTTTTGGGGTTTGCTTCCATCACAGTCGAAAGGTTCCCTTTACTTTTAGTTGTCGTGGCATTATAAATTTTTACGACGCTTTTGATTTTTTTGCAATATCTGCACTTTTTGTCAAGACCTTTACTTTGGTTAATTACGGCTTACGCAATACTTTTTAAAAGTTGCTATAAATGTATGCATGGACCATAAACCTCTTGCATACTTACCAGGTCTAAAACATTATTAGGTAAGGGTAATTATAGGAAGCGAATAGAAGATGAGCATTATTGGTGTTTATTGTTCTGAAGGGTTAGTTATAAGCTATCGAAAAATATTATGCAGGTATCTTCAAACAAACATTCAAAAAGTGCGTAGAGCATAGCTTTGAAAAGTGATTAACATGGGATTATGAAACGATTAGGGTTCATAGAGAGTTTTCTAAATTTTATATTACAGTGTGATTGTAACTAACCTTGGAGTAATTTTGGTTTTTCATTTAAGCAACGGTAATTGAAATTAAGCTCAAATGTTAAAAGAAGGTAAAATAATCATTCAAAATAATAAACAGACCGGGTACAATTTAATAATGGTGTATAATTGGTTGCAGAGATTCTTTGTGCAAAATAATTTGCTTGACTTTAAGTACAAACTGCGCATGGGCTACTAGTGATGAGTGGGAATAATATTCATGCGCGCTGTTTTAAATCCGTGGGTTCCACGCTCGTATCGCTGGAAAAGTGTATGTGCTCTTACAATGGCTATTTCTTAAATTCTAACAAATAACACGGTCGTATTTTTATAAAAAGTATATATTTGATACCCGATGTATCATTAAAACTGTTGCGTGATACGGAGTGAGTGTTTCAAGTGTTGTAAATGCAGTTTTGCGTACTTTTGTGAACTTGCAGCTTCTTACCTTTATAGAAGAGGATGATACAGTACTTAAGTAAGTTCTAGCAATTAATACTTTATATCCGTTGTATCTGTTAGCACAATCAATATAGAAGATGATACAGAGATAATGCAACTATTTTTAGATATAGTTTTCGAATTGGTTGTCAAGGATAGGTGTGATGTTTCTTTAGCACACAAAGTATTTAGGTATATAATATACAAAATGTACCAAGTATATCTCAGAGAGTCTGATAATATTTGTGTTATAGCGTTGTTTTTTGATAGCGACTATGCATATTTAATTAAATTTATTCGTGCCGTTCAAAAATACCTATACCTACGCGAAGAAAAAGTAATCCACGTGAATCTATGAACAAATTATTACTGCATCTACATTATATGAAAAATTATTATTAATTATTAATGATTGTTGTACCGACTGTTCTACCAACATAAATAATGTTTTTTGAGAAAGGTCTTTTTTAGAGAAATAGATGGATAGATATCTATTATCAAATATTCATGTGAAAATTAATTTTCTATTTATACCAACTATAAATTTTCCTCAGGTAATGTAACGATTTATAAAAGTTGTAGTTTATTGAAAAACAAAAATTGCTCAGTAGTATGTAAACAGCCCTCTAATTCTTACTTGACTTTTGTACTTTTGTATTTGAACAAAAATGAAAATATTATACATTTGACGCGAGCAAACATTTTTTACAACTGTTACGAGTTTCAATCTTAAAAATAATTAATTAAATACGTAACTAGCAATGCACCTTACTCATTATCTAAAATAATTTAGGTATAAAAATGCATGGGTAAATTTTTTAGTTGTCAATATAAATTATTAAAGTGTAAAATGAAGAAGTGAGTATATTGTATTAAGAAATCATAAACACCACTAATCAGAATAGAAAGGCGTGTGTCACAGTTTTTTTTGCTGCTGATTCTTATGCGACTTGTTTGCGTTTTTTGTCTCTGATATCTTCAAGTTCATTTGAAGGAATAAGAAAGATATATACATATACAGTGTCAATCACAGAAAATTCAGTTTAGTTTCTCTATAAACGTAGTATTACGAAATAAAATAGTATTGGGATGTATTTGGTCATTTCGTTTCTAGTTTTCTTACTTAATTTAAAATTTAGTATTTCCCTGTAAACGAAACGAGAATTTTTACATTTTAGGCAAGTTTTTACGTATGTATGTAATCTTTTTTAAATCTTTAGTTATCCTTACATTAATCCTGACACCAAACTTCAAAATTTCCTTCTATAATATTCACTATCCTGTGCACTTAACACTATAAGTAATATTCCTTTTTCTATCCTATAACTAACAACTCAAACTAAATTTCCTACCCCTTCAATACAATTTAATATTTTTACACCCTTATATATTGCACACAAACATGGGATTATACATGAGTGAAATTTCTCTACAATTAATCTTTTCTAAACCTGGCCTTGCTTTCCTAGCAATCCCTCTCATTTGTAATTCAAAAATTATTTCGATTTTGTAAAATTCTCATTAAATCACTCAGGCAAGTTTTTCGTTTTTGTGAAAGTTTGGAATTTGAGTTTTATTTACAGCCCTTTAGAATAGAATATAGTGGTATATTGTTGTTGCCTTAAAATGGTCCAAGTGGATAAAACTTGAGAAGGTACATTATTATTGACGCAAACCTGATTGATATTAATAAGCCTTCATAAGATTTACTAAGCCTTCAGTTAAGCCCTAAAAAATAATCTATACATATCCTAACAGCAATTCGGAAATAGTGTTTGCGTAGGTTTTAGGTGCATGTACCATATGTTGAAGTAAAGCTGCCGACATTGTACGGTCAACCAGACGGTTCACGCATACGTGATTGAATCATGTTCCATAAAAATGCATATGTACTTAGGTGAAATTTTTGGACAAAAGGTTTGAGTCCTTGCCTAATAATCGAACATAGAAGTTACATATTTGTTTGTGGATATTTTGTCTTTTTACGCCACATGAGCGAAATGCATAATTTGGTGGACGTATGGAGTATATACTTTATTATTTATATGAAAAAAAAAGGCTGAACTATTTACACGAATTTTCCTATTTTTCCAAGGGGGATGTAGCCCTTTGATAATTGCATGCAATAGAATATCCCCATCATGCCATCGCCGATAGTGTATTTACTATGAATCTCCAGGGTACAACATATCTTAAGTGCACTTGTGTATGGTGAATGAATGCGCTGACCAAAGCAATCTTTTTTTTCAACTGACGGAAAAGTAAAATAAAGTGACACAATTGGACGAATTTCTACACGGACAGTTGTCTAAATGACACATGAATTGTACATGCTAATTGCAATTTATTTTTAATTTGAATTAGTATTTTACCGTCGTATTATACAATATTAATATTAATGGCCGATCAATTGAGTGACCAAGATATTGCCCGTTTCAAAGAGGCTTTTTCGTTGTTTGACCGAGCAGGACGCGGTAAGATTCCTGCCGAAGAATTGGGAACGGTAATGCGAGTATTGGGTAAGATTCCTTCGGAAGCACAAATAAACGAATTTATCAAAGAAGTGGAAGGCGATCAAACAGGTTATGTTGATTTTCCCGATTTTTTAACAATAATAACACGCGACATTAAGGACCGATACTGGGACGAAGAGGAAGTACGCGAGGCATTTCGACTTTTTGACAAAAACGAGACTGGTGCTATATCAGTTGAAGATTTCCGACACATTCTCGTCCATCTCGGTGAAGATATGACGGATGAGGTTATCGATGAAATGATTGCTGATGCAGGTTCTGACAATGACGGATTTATTAATTATGAACAATTTGTTAGCATCATTACGGCAAATGATATGCCTACTTATAATTATCTCAAACCTCAAACATGTCCAGAACCCAATAATAAATTCTGAAAATGCTTTTTAAATGTTGCGATAGTAAATGCGATCTATATACAGAATAGTCTCTAGGGCTTCGATTTGTGAAATGGAAAAACGAATTCCTTATACCTCTTAAATCATACTTAGACATACTCGTGATTTTTCTAAAATCTTATCATTTTTTTGTGAAAATTTTTTACCATTAATCAGCAGTATTAACATCTAGCAAGGAGGACCTAGAGATAGCTTTAAATAAAATGGAAGCGGTACTGACAGATTAATACTGTATGAAAATAAATAAAAGTAAAACTAAAATACTGGTATGTGAGGGAAAAAAAAGTAGGGAAAGAGCGAATATAAAGATAGGATACGAAAATTTAGAGGAAGTGGCTGATTTTAGATATCTAGGAAGTCAGATAAATCAGAACGGAAGGAGTAGTAGGGATATAAAGTAGAGGATAGCGCAGGGTTGTGTTACCTTTAATAAAAAGAAGTCAATTTTATGCTCGTGAACGATTAATTTAGAAATTCGAAAAAGGTTGTTAAAGGTGTATGTTTGGAGCACGGCGTTGTACGGGGTATGGACAGTGGGAGCGGCGGAAAAGAAAAGGTTAGAAGCGTTCGAAATGTGGTGTTATAGGCGGATGATGNTTAAATGTTGCGATAGTAAATGCGATCTATATACAGAATAGTCTCTAGGGCTTCGATTTGTGAAATGGAAAAACGAATTCCTTATACCTCTTAAATCATACTTAGACGTACTCGTGATTTTTCCTAAAATCTTATCATTTTTTTGTGAAAATTTTTTACCATTAATCAGCAGTATTAACATCCAGCAAGGAGGACTTAGAGATAGCTTTAAATAAAATGGAAGCGGTACTGACAGATTAATACTGTATGAAAATAAATAAAAGTAAAACTAAAATACTGGTATGTAAGGGAAGAAAAAGTAGGGAAAGAGCGAATATAAAGATAGGATACAAAAATTTAGAAGAAGTGGCTGATTTTAGATATCTAGGAAGTCAGATAAATCAGAACGTAAGGAGTAGTAGGGATATAAAGTAGAGGATAGCGCAGGGTTGTGTTACCTTTAATAAAAAGAAGTCAATTTTATGCTCGTGAACGGTTAATTTAGAAATTCGAAAAAGGTTGTTAAAGGTGTATGTTTGGAGCACGGCGTTGTACCGGTGTGAAACATGGACAGTGGGCGCGGCGGAAAAGAAAAGGTTAGAAGCCTTCGAAATGTGGTGTTATAGGCGGATGATGAGGATAACGTGGGTAGAAAAGGTTAGAAATGAAGAGGTATTGGAAAGAATAGGAGAACAGAGGACTCTATGGA